CCCCAAAACCCCAAAACCCCAAAACCCCATTAGCCAAAATATAATCATTTCGATGAAAAATAATTAATATAAATCAAAAGCGAATATCATCAACCACTAAATTTCACTCATGAAAATTTACAAACATTAGTTGATTCATGCTCTAATCAGGCTTTTAAACAATATCTGCTTTGATTTTTCTCAGGGTATAAAAGAAAGTTTGCTTTTGCAGATACTAAACTATTTCAGCCATTTTATCACAAGAGCCCAAATATACAATGACAAAGTTCTGATTATAGAACTAATAAGATCTGACTGCAAGATCAGATTCATTGTTTCTTACTCCATTAAACAAGTTCAAAGTTCTTTCTAAGAAACCACAATCTCTATCACCAAATCCTATTGGTGAGTTATCGATCTTTATCAAATTAGTATTAGGATTTCTCAGCATAGGCACCTTATGCTAAATCATTACCAAGTCATAATCATTTAGTTCCTAGACAAATGCTAGCGGCAGTCTTTTATCCTCTTTTTTTACAATATACATTACTTAATTGTGTGAAGAACTTTATCTATAGATCTTTTGATTGAGCTCACTCAAAGCTTCTAATTTTGTTGCTTCATTGTCATAAACCAAAGTTATTAATTGTTCATGCATTATTGAGTTTTACTAATTGTTTTATATTATTTCCTTGGGTTAATGATTTAGCTACTGAATAAATGATTTCTGAAATGCATCAAGTTTGAAATTACATGGGACACAACAAATAGTTAGTCTATTTTCGAATAAGTTAAATAGTTACTGTGATCTTTTAATCATCGAAAATGAGTCAACATTTGTTGGAAGTGTCTCTGGATTACCTTCTTCATCAGTGATTATTGACTCTTAACCGCAAAGCTAGCACTTATTAATACCTTTTTCCTATTATTGTGATAAACATTATTGGCAAATTCTGTGTCCACATTGTGGTTACATCACTTGCTATTACTCATTTTCTTCAAATTATGATGAGCATAAAAAGCATTCCATACTTCAATTTTTATTAATTTCTTTATAATTTGTATTATTAATTTTTTTATAATTCAGTATCTTTTTATATTTTTTCCTATAGTTTTTCAAACTGAACTTTTGATTGATAAAATCCTTCTATTTATTGAATCAAAATATTAAGTTTTTAACTAGATCCCTTTAAATTTTGTCTCGATTCGATACTAAATGTTTAATGATACTTTGCAAGAAGATTATTAACATTGTCATCTAAGCAACTTTTAATCAAGTAAGTCAATATATCATCATTCTCAGTAGAGCTACTTTCAAAAGCCTTCTTAAAGAAAAAAAATCCATTATTTTTTATTTATAGCTCAGTCCATGTATTTATGATATTAAACATTAGTTTAGAGAGAATTTTTCCAAAGAAAACTGATTAGTCAATTTTTGATATTTTTACTAGTAATTTTCTTAAAATTAAATCATCCTTGATCTTCGGTTTGCTCAGAGACTCAGTGTAAAATTTCTCAATCAATAATTCTATTGAGTTTTTAATATCAGACTAGTGTTTGGAGAAAAATTCTACAATGTTTTATCTAAAGTCTTTATTGCCCATCTAACAAATATCTTCAGAAGAAATATTTATAAGACTTAAATTTCTTTACTCTTCAATGGATTTATTATGTTATATTAACCTCTTTCCAATACTTCTAAAATTTTATTATATTATCTTCCATTTTTATTTTTTTAAATTGTTATTCAAATCTATTTAATTTCTTAGCTTAATATTTTCAATAATCTAATTAATTTTTATATCACTTAGTATGTCTAAAGAATCTAAAAATTGCTTAATTTAGTTTGTATATATCTATTATCTCATTATATCAAATTTAGAAGTTTCAATATAATAGTACGCTTCCATTACAGATAAGTATATTTTAGTTGATATAGAAATCTAGATATCTAATGAATTTAGAATTTTGCCAAATCTAACATTAGCATTTAGTAACTTTTACCATTTTTAGTTAATTATAAACTTAAAACTTTTGATTTGAGGCTCAATAGAATTTAATATTGCATGATTGGTCTTAACTAATCCCAATATTTTATCAATATAGTTCATAATCATGTATAGTTCATCCATTTGAAAGAAGATTATGCCAATATTTTATTACAAAATTAAAATGAAATTTTTTCCATTTTTCCCAAGCAAATGTGGATAATAATATGAGTAAGCACATGCATCTTCAACTAAGTTAGAGAACAATTTTATTATTTCTATGAACTATTAAGTTCCTTTATAGAAGTTAAAGAGATTCATACTCATTTCAAGGGGAAAATCCTTTAATTGTATTTGTCTTTAAAAGTAATGATTGTAGAGAGTGCATTCCATAATTGAGAACTATCTAATGTCTTTTTGAAAATTGTCTTCGGATGAACTTTCAGACATCTCCATATTAATAATAAGTTTTTCTATTTCAACAATTATGTTAATGAATGAGTTCTCTTTTATTTCTTTATCAATATTAAAAAACGTATTTATGATTCCCATAGAAAAATAGAATACTTTTGATAAAGGATTGTCTGGTAGTTTGCCATTTTTAGATATCGATCTCCTGAGAATTCTAATGGCTTCTTTCTTATCCATAAATTATATTTTATACATTAGCTCCTGATAAATCTTATCAACATTCCTTTTACACATTGATAAATATTCAGGCTCAACAACATCCTGATAGATTAGTACTTCTAACATTTCTTATTCAATATTAACCTTTGAAGGTATTTATTTTAGGATTTCAACAATGGAAGTAATTTGTTAAGATAAAATTGTTAAAGTGTATCTCAATCCTGTTTTATGAATATGGTTTAAACTATCCTAAATCAATTTTCTTATTGATTCTGGTACCTATACTTTGAAATTAAGCTTTTACGAAATAAGGATGAAAGATTCCAAAATTTCAAGGAACTTTTCTATCAGAATTATTTGAGAAGGATGAAGTTTTTTAAGATTTTTTAGGTAGAAAATTAGTTTCACTTCATCTATTTCAATGTATTCTTTAATCTGAGGAATAATTATTTCCGTTTGACCTTTATCCCAAAAAAATGATTCTATTGGTTAATTATTACTGATTTAAGGATTTTATTAATATTTAGCATTGTTGGTTATCGATTAGATTACTTATTACTAGTCTAAAGCAGTTTATTAAAGATTTTGGTCAATTTAAAGTAATTACTTATTTTGTTACTCTTATTGTTGGTCAATATCTGCTTTATTTTGCTATATTTGTTGAATTTATTACTTTTTATTTTAATACTATTTACTTTATTCTGAAAGTTTCAATGTGTCGTTCTATTGTTAGTTTTAAGCCATTTGAATTTTCATTTATAACTATTATTACTACTGATTTTAAGAGTCCTAAATGCTATTCTATTGAGAAATGCTCTGTTTTGAAATTTGTGTTTCTATCTATGAAGTAGATTGAAATTGGTTTTGAGCCAGGGTTAAATTAGAAATTTTATTTTAAAACAATGAATCAAGTTGAGCTTAATTAATGCTTGTCATTTAAATTGATTTTTGCATCTAAATTTTTCTTTAAGCAGCAGTAGCACCTCTTTTATTTTTTGGTCTACCATTTTAATCTTTTGAATAATCTAACGCTCCATTTTTTGCATAACTTTATTTATTCATATAAACCACACAATCAAACTTATACCTTAACCAGTTTGAATTGTCCTTAATCCCCATTTATCCTTCTTATTCAGCATTAAAAAATGGCCCATTAAACTAATAATACTCTACCCCATTTAAACCATCCCGTCCTGGATTACCACCCTCTCCTTCAACCCCATCTTTACCATTAGCACCTTTCTTGTTCTGAAATTCTAAAGGTTTTTCTTCGCCTTTTATGATCACTGAAATTTTTCCTGCATGGCCTCCTTCTCCTCCAATTCCAGCATGTCCTCCAAGTCCACCATCACTGCCTAATCCTCTGCCTGTTCCATACCATATTGTATGTGTTGATTTAAAACTTCTGTTTTCGAATTATTTTGGTGAAGTTTTTAACCTGTCTTTTCGTTATTTTGCATCTGTTCCATCATGGCCAATTATTCCATCGAATCCTTTAAGGCCATTTGTACCATTTTGTCCATTAGCTCCATTTGCGATTAGTTTAAGACTTTCAATTCCTTATATATATTCCTATGCGACTATCATTATATTTCCTGCACTTTCACCAGGAATACCATCTTAACCATTGATTGGTTAATTTTTAACTCTCTTTTCATGATCAGACATCTCTTCCTATTTAAGTATAGGAGGATCACTAGGAGAGGTATCTATAATGCACTATGAGTTCTTGATTAGAATAGAATTAGCTTCAATTGCAACATTAACTTTTGGAACTTTTAGGTCAACATCCAAGATAAGCTACTCAGAAGCTATAATAAATATTTCTGATGTATCAGGTAGATTCTTTTCATATTGGCTCTTGACTGAACTCATTGAAAAAACGTTCCCAGAAATTAAAAGAGTTCCATTATTGAATTCAAATACAGGCTTTGCAAAAAGAATAGCCCATGTATTTTTCAATTTCTCGATAATTTATGAATTTTAGGTATTTTTAATTATAAATTTATCGAAATTTTCCATATCTCCGGCACTATATGAATTCATCTTAGACCAAATCATGTCCATATAAATTTTACCATTCACTCTCTATGTTCTAAGCTAAATTATTATTTGTTCAAGGGTTTAAGAATTTTAAAAAAGATTCAAATCAATCTGCTCTGAATCATTTTTCAGTCCTGCAAATATTGAGTTAAAGAATTTTGTGTAAATTTAGTATTAATTTTGCTACTCGCACTTCTCGAGATTTAAGGCATTTTATTCTTATAGTTTCTAAAGTTCCTACTACTTAGCTTCATCCTTAGAATTCTGCAATTCTTTAGTTAACCTCTCAATTTCTAGATCTTGCTTCTTGATCAATTATTTTAATTCCTCTATCTATTTTTCTAATTGCTCTTGTTCTTAAATAACTTATCTTTCTATTAGCTAGAGTTTAAAGGTCTCGTTATATGCATTGAAAGCATTATTTTTCATAATTTCTATGTTAATTTCTTTGAGAGCAGTCTATATATCATTTCTTGTTGAAAATGTGAAGGATTCTTCATATGATTATTTAATACCATTCATCTGCAATACTATTGTGTCCATGAAAAATACATTTTTTTCAGTCAGCAAGCACAACTCAGGGCTAATATTTTATTTATTTAAAATTTTGAAGCAATTTGAGATAACATTCCAGAGCTTATCAATTTATTTTATATTTTTAAGTGAATCTATGATAGAGTCTATAAACTTCTTATATTCTTAATTTTCGTTTTTTTAATTATACAAGTTCTTTAAGATAAAGTCAAGTACTTGATGAATTGAGTTCTCACTTACGATAATATCTAGGAGGAATTCATAGACTTCAGTAGGATTTTTATAGAGGCGATTCATCTTAACTAGAGTTGTTCTGTATTTTTTGAATTCATCTTAGAAGACAACTGGCCAGAAGAATACATTTTTATTACTTTTAACAACATTTCCTATCTAAGATCCATCAATAAACTCTACTGCATAATCCTAATTTAGATATTTTATAATATCAAGTTCATCTTTGATTGAGGCAATATTTTTAATCTTATTGTAGACAGCCTCTAATTCCTCATCTAATTCATCATTTGAATCTTTTTTGTACCAAGTGAGACTAAAATCTAACTTGATATATTGCATGAGCATACATATAAAGTCGCTTTATTCTGTTTCAATACTCCCTTCAATCTAAGGTAACCTTCCATTTTATGTTTTGCAATAGATCTCATTTTAAAAGTAAAAGTAAGACATGCTATCAAGATGATTTATTTCATCTTTATTCTTCTTCAAAGACTCTTTTACTTTCCACTCATCCTTGTATTACTTGTAAACTGTTGAATTTACTTCGCTGTTTATAACCTCATATATTCCATATTTTTATAACTACAATTCTGCTCTTATT